GGCTTGACAAGAGGCTGGGGTTAAAAAAAAAAGAATCACACACAAAAATGGGAGTTGTCACAGCTGCTCTTTGCTGTGACACTGTGTCTTGGGGATTCTAAGAGAAGTTGTGAATTGGTGTGAATTTTTAGGTGTGCAAAGAAGAAAAAAAAAGGGGAATACAGGAAAGAGCAAGGTTATGAGGGTAACAAAAAAATTTGGTATGAAGGATTTAATATCAATTGGAGGGACAGAGTAGGAGGAGGTGAATTATTCAGATATTTGGGAGTGGACGTGTCAGTGGATGGGTCTGTGAAAGATGGGGTTTGAATCATAAAATTTGATGAGGGAAAAAGAGTGAGTGGTGCACTTAGGAGTCTTTTGGAGACAAAGAACTTTGTCCTTGGAGGCAAAGAGGGGAATGTATGAGAGTGCAGTTTTACCAACGCTCTTATATGGGTGTGAAGCATGGGTGATAAATGTTGCAGCGAGGAGAAAGGCTGGAGGCAGTGGAGATGTCATGTTGAGGGCAATGTGTGGTGTGAATATAATGCAGAGAATTCGTATTTTGGAAGTTAGGTGGGGGTGCGGGATTACCAAAATGTTGTCCAGAGGGCTGAGGAGGGGTTGTTGAGGTGGTTCGGACATGTGGAGAGAATGGAGCGAAACAAAATAACTTCAAGAGTGTATCAGTCTGTAGTGGAAGGAAGGCGGGGTAGGGGTCGGCCTAGGAAAGGTTGGAGGGAGGGGTAAAGGGGGTTTTTTTTGTGCGAGGGGCTTGGACTTCCAGCAGGCATGCGTGAGCGTGTTTGATGGGAGTGAATGGAGACAAATGGCTTTTAATACTTGACGTGCTGTTGGAGTGTGAGCAAAGTAACATTTATGAAGGGGTTCAGGGAAACCGGCAGGCCGGACTTGAGTCCTGGAGATGGGAAGTACAGTGCCTGCACTCTGAAGGAGGGGTGTTAATGTTGCAGTTTAAAAACTGTAGTGTAAAGCACCCTTCTGGCAAGACAGTGATGGAGTGAATGATGGTGAAAGTTTTTCTTTTTCGGGCCACCCTGCCTTGGTGGGAATCGGCCAGTGTGATAATAAAAAAAAAATAAAAATAAAGGAACGGGAGGGTCAGGCCTCTATGGACAGATATGTTGTGCGACAGAGGTCCAGTGACTCTCAAGCTGGTCCTAGTGGCATTAAAAGAAGAAGGGAAGTAACCCCAGAAAAGGACTTGACATCTCAAGTGCTAATGAAAGGGGATTCCCCTTCTAAGCATTAACACCATCAACACACTCCTCTCCTCCCATCCTATCAATCATCACCAGATCTTCAATAAAGGTAAGTGTCATGTAATTGTACATGTCTTTTTCAGTTTGTGTGTATTAAAATGAATATTTGATGTGGTAAAAATTTTTTTTTTCATACTTTGGGGTATCAGGAACGGATTAATTTGATTTCTATTATTTCTTATGGGGATAATTAATTCGGCTAATGATAATTTCGCCTAACGTTGAGCTCTCAGGAACAGATTAACATCGTTAGGCGTGGGTCCACTGTATTGCATAACAGTAAATCTTCTATTTTTTTGGTCTGAATAAAAATTCATTATGTGAATAAAAAATCAAAATGGAATTCATTTGTAAAGCCTGAAAACATAACTGATGAACAGAGGAAATGTTAGTTTAGTGCCAGGAATGCCTGCATTGTTTATTCTGGACCCTATTTTGAAATTGGAATATTTTGAACTTTGCATTAAATTGGCCAAATTACCAATTTCCGATCACTTTATTTTGTAGCTGAAACAGTTTACTTGGTGATTTCTTGTGATCAGTCGATAAAATAGAAGTAATACTAGTGAAATAGCTAAGAATTTGGTCGACTGGAATAATGTAATTGGCCTAAAATGGGAGTCAAAGTCGGCAAAATCACCAATGCGTAAATATCACTAACACATCAAAATTCGCGAGAGCATAATTTCGTAAATTTTCTATCAAATATTGTACGTTTTGTTTTATTACCTTCAGAAAAAGATTCTCTACCATTTCATAAGAAAAAATAACAAAATTATTTTTTGAAAATTCTTGGACCCTGGTGCACACTTTGAAATTTGGCCTCTGGACCCTGAAAGGGTTAATGTGCTGGTCCTGGAGGATGACTCTGCAGTATGTGGTTCTGGCTGGTGAAAATTTTGCCATTTTGAAAATTGTGTCCTTTATTTCTTTCCAGCTGTAGGGAGAATCTCCACTAATCCTTCTGCTAAAAAACTAACCTGGGTTAAGAGTTCATGTTCAATTACTTTTGTAGCATTTCTTGCAGTCAGTTTTTGTATTCACAGAATACTAGTCATCTTTTGAGCTTTTATTTTTCTTTATGGGATCTCTATGCTCGTGGGTTTATGGGACACACACACTGCTCTCTTTCCAGTCTTGGCAGTTCCCTTTTTTTTCCAGTAGGTCATACTTGTGTTGGCATGCAGCATATGATATTGCTAGCAATTTGACCATTTTATCACACTCTTATCTGATAATATATCTGCTGGCCTTGGAAGCCACAGTGAGTTTCTCTGAGGTATGGAGGAAGGTTTGTGATAATTGATGCCAAAATGTAGTGGAAATGCTCTTCACATTGACTTTGAGCTCTGTATTATTTTTATCATTTCTTCCATAGCCATAGGTGTGTCATTAGACTATGATTTGAATGTCACACTGACCTGATTGTTAAGATAACATAAGATTTTGTTTGGATTTTTAACCCCGGAGGGTTAGTCACCCAGGATAACCCAAGAAAGTCAGTGTGTCATTGAGGACTGTCTAACTTATTTCCATTGGGGTCCTCAATCTTGTCCCCCAGGATGCGACCCACACCAGTCGACTAACACCCAGGTACCTATTTGCTGCTAGGTGAACAGGACAACAGGTGTAAGGAAACGCATTGATATGTTTCCACCCGCCAGGAATCGAACCCAGGTAAGGATTAACGAGTAACATTTAGAATGGTCTCTAGTTATTTGACCCATTCTGTACTGTTTTTCATATAGGTGCTGTGTGTTCATCACTACTCTAACGTGGTGGCACATCTAGGGCCAGGATTGCACTTCCAGCGAGGAGACTGTGGACCATCTTGTGCTGTGTTGTCTATGCAGATACTCAGCACAGAGTTTTCAAAGAAGAAAAGAAGTGGTTGGGATAGTTTGACCATGAAGATAGAATGGAGCAAGATAGATGAATTAAGAGGTTTTTTATACGTATAAATCTTGTTTGGTTGGAAGATAGTGCAGGGAAAGTCCAAAGAAGAGAGATCAGGAGACTAGTACAAGAGTTAAGGAGGTAGGAGCTTGAACATTCAAAAGGCTGTTGAAGTGTGAGCAAGGTAAAAATCTAATTATGCACCCCATACCCATCCTGTGGGCGGTAGTCAAAAGATTACGGAGGTACATAATTGGTCCAGGGACTGGACTCCAAAGTTTTGATAGCTGAGCAAGTTACAAAGGTAATGAACTAGATCTGGTCATAATCATGACCAAGTTACAAAGGTAATGAGCTCCAGGTAGAGCTGGTCACATTCATGAATAATTGCAAAGGTAATGAATCATAAACACATTAATCATGAGAATTTACAAAGGTAATGAGCTCCAGGTAGAGCTGGTCAAGATCATGACAAGTTTCAAAGGTAATGAATGATAAACACGTTATCACATGATTACAATCATAGACAAATTACAGAGTAATGAGAAGTTAACAAACATAGCAGGGAATTCATCCATTGCCCCAACAACAGATGTTGCTAGGTGCCTGTCTCTCCTCGGCAGACAGCCATTGCTGTCTGCCGAGGACCCATCGACCCTCCCCAAGAGGTCCAAGAAGCCAGTGGCTCTGTTAGCAGCCCGATGGAGAGCTGTCCAAGGGACATGGCAACGTCCTGGTGGACGCCAAGTTGACTGAAGATCCCAGGCCCTCGTGTGCACGGATGTTGAAGCTTGAGGAACTGAGTACACACTGCCTGTGGCACACCTGACAGCTGCCTCGCAATTAAAAGGCTCTGGTGGCCTGGTGGCTAACGCTCTCACTTAACACGTCAAGGGCCTGGGTTCGATTCCCAGCCAGAGTAGAAACATTGGGCGTGTTTCTTTACACCTGTTGTCTATGTTCCCCATCAGTAAAATGGGTACCTGGGTGTTAGTCGACTGGTGTGGGTCACATCCTGGGACACTGACCTAATTTGCCCGAAATGCTGAGCATAACAAGGGGCTTTCTATATAGTAGTATCACAGTATGTCATTGATGTCAGCTAGGCCTGTATACCATGTACATGTACTTGTAGTAAATAAAGATATTATTATTATTATTATTAGAAAACCTTTGTTTACTTTCAGTATAGTACTTGTATGCTCTTTATTTGGGTTTAATTTTCTTTTTTTTTATGAATTTAGACTGTTTCATTATAATTTAAAAAATGTAGAAATTAGACTATGCAGGAGGGCCCTGCTTATGCAGCAGGTTAGGCTCTGGACTACCACTGTGAAACGAAAATAACTGGAAAGTAAATCATAGCCTTTTTCACTTTTAAATGCATGATAACATGTGTACTATCATATATTAAGTGAGCAATATAGCTTAGCCTAAAAAATGCATATTACTTATCTTAAAATATTTTTGTCCTTAGCTTATAGCAGGTGGTTTACCTGGAGTTTACCTGGAGTGAGTTCCGGGGGTCAACGCCCCCGCGGCCCGGTCTGTGACCAGGCCTCCTTAGGTCAGTGTCCCAGGATGCGACCCACACCAGTCGACTAACACCCAGGTACCCATTTTACTGATGGGGAACATAGACAACAGGTGGAAAGAAACACGTCCAATGTTTCTACTCTGGCTGGGAATCGAACCCAGGCCCTCGCCGTGTGAAGCCAGAGCGTTAACCACCAGGCCAACATATTTATTGTGGGAAGTTTGAAATGTGTATGATTAAAAGCTGCTGTATTAGCAAATGACTGTAAAGCAAAGCACTGTAAAGCAAAGCACTGTAAAGCGAAGCACTGTAAAGTGAAGCACTGTAAAGCGAAGCACTGTAAAGCGAAGCACTGTAAAGTGAAGCACTGTAAAGTGAAGCACTGTAAAGCGAAGCACTGTAAAGCGAAGCACTGTAAAGCGAAGCACTGTAAAGCGAAGCACTGTAAAGCGGGCCTGCCTAATAGCTAGGTACAATAGGTACAGCCTCTTTAATATGACATGCAAAAAATGTGGATTTTACTTGTGCACTTGCAGTGGGCTCATTAGTATGGATTCTTTTCAGGAATTAAGTCCAACCTCATCCTGTGTATCTCATGAAGAAGCATGTAAGAAAGAAGTTAAAGTAAGGAAAGAGTGTCCAGTAAAAACCTTTGAGCTTTGACCAATGAAGTTAAGATCTAGCCCCCAAAAAAGAAAATTGGAAAGTCCTGAGTGTGAAAATGAAAGTCTAACTAAAGCAAAGAGGGTTCTACAGCAGGACGGAACAAAAAAGCAAGTTGAAAATGAAATTTTAGAATTGTATCAGCTGCTGGACAAAATTAATAAAAGTCCACTGCAGGAGAATAAAGTAAAAAAAAAATTACAGAGGAAATGCGAGTTGCAGAAACCTAGAACTAAGGTCATCGATGACAGGTACTGTACTGTATTTTGGTTTTAAAGATTTTCTTATTAATGCATTGTATATTACCATTAATAATTTTAATTCTATAAAATATACTTTGTATATGTGGTGTATAACCCTTAAGGGTTTAGTGCTTGAGTTGATAATATTATTATTTTGTATATTGAACTTGCTGTCTATTCTTTTACAATTAGTTGATCTCGTATTTCTTGCCTCTTATTCTTTCTGCTTTTCACTTCAGTTGTCTTTCTGTTCACATTATTATAATTTGACCCATGTTTATTTTTGCAAATGGTATATGGTATGTTCCTTATGCACTCATGGCTACAAAATTTTCCATTAAAAATGGGCCTTGGATAGGGATATGTGATATCATCATGGTGATTTAGTGATTTAGTGGCCTGGTGGCCTGGTGGCTAAAGCTTCCGCTTCACACACGGAGGGCCCGGGTTCGATTCCCGGTGGGTGGAAACATTCGACACGTTTCCTTACACCTGTTGTCCTGTTCACCTAGCAGCAAATAGGTACCTGGGTGTTAGTCGACTGGTGTGGGTCGCATCCTGAGGGACAAAATTAAGGACCCCAATGGAAATAAGTTAGACAGTCCTCGATGACGCACTGACTTTCTTGGGTTATCCTGGGTGGCTAACCCTCCGGGGTTAAAAATTCGAACGAAATCTTATCTTATCTTATCTTATTATGAGGTTGTAAAAGAAGTGAGTGTAGATGTGAGCAAGAGACATGGCATTAAAAGATAATGAATTATACTAAGTCGAAGTTGTTGCTCTTTGTCAGTGGCATTTCTGTTGAGAGATTCTGAAGACAAGTTGCAAAGAGTCAAGGAGGAATTTAGGAGGGAATAAAAAATTTAACATAAAAATGAGCAAGATTAAGAAAAAGTTTAAGCAACGAAAAGTGGATATCAGAGTGGAGGGACGAAGTATGGAGGAAGTGAATGTATTTAGATATTTGGGAATAGGCAAGTTAGATGGGTCTATGAAAGACAAGGTGAACCATAGCATAGATGAGAAGAAATAGTGTTGAGGTATATGTGGGAAGAAAGTTTATTTATTGAGGCAAAAAGAGAAATGTACCCGAGTATAGTGGTAGCAACACTTTTATTGGTATGTGAGGTGTGGGCTTTCAACATTTTAATGAAGAGGAGGCTAGAGACAGTGGAGATGTCATGTTTAAAGAGTAATGTGTATGTAGAAAATTCAGAGCATAGAAATTAGAAGATTGTGTGAAGTTATGAAAGGTATAATTCAGATGACTAAGGAGAAGTTGTGGAAGTCTGAGGTGGAAGGAAGAAGGGGTAGTGTTCATCCCGGGAAAGATTAAAGGAAGGGGGTGAAGGAGATTTTGAGTAATAGGGGCTTAAAAATCCAGCAGGTGTGTGTGAGTGTTAAATCAGAATGGGTGGAGAAAAGTGGTTTGTATGGCATGATGTTGTGCTGGCGTGTAAACAAGTTAATGGTTATAAAGTGGTTTGTATGGCATGATGTTCTGCTGGCGTGTAAACAAGTTAATGGTTATAAAGTGGTTTGTATGGCATGATGTTGTGCTGGCGTGTAAACAAGTTAATGGTTATAAAGTGGTTTGTATGGCATGATGTTGTGCTGGCGTGTAAACAAGTTAATGGTTATAAAGTGGTTTGTATGGCATGATGTTCTGCTGGCGTGTAAACAAGTTAATGGTTATAAAGTGGTTTGTATGGCATGATGTTGTGCTGGCGTGTAAACAAGTTAATGGTTATAAAGTGGTTTGTATGGCATGATGTTGTGCTGGCGTGTAAACAACTTAATGGTTATAAAGTGGTTTGTATGGCATGATGTTGTGCTGGTGTGTAAACAAGTTAATGGTTATAAAGTGGTTTGTATGGCATGATGTTGTGCTGGCGTGTAAACAAGTTAATGGTTATAAAGTGGTTTGTATGGCATGATGTTGTGCTGGCGTGTAAACAAGTTAATGGTTATAAAGTGGTTTGTATGGCATGATGTTGTGCTGGCGTGTAAACAAGTTAATGGTTATAAAGTGGTTTGTATGGCATGATGTTGTGCTGGCGTGTAAACAAGTTAATGGTTATAAAGTGGTTTGTATGGCACGATGTTCTGCTGGCGTGTAAACAAGTTAATGGTTATAAAGGGATAAAAGAAAATTGATTAGCTAGACCTGAGTTCTGGAAGTGGAAAGTACAATGCTTGCACAGGAGGAGAATGTTCAAGTTCAGAAGATAATTTCAGCTATATGCATACTTCTGGCAAGACAGCTATTGAATGAATAATGTTGAATGCATTTTTTTTGTTGTTCTAATTTGGTGTTAGACAGCCAGTGTGGGGAAAGAAAAATGGTCTTTAAAAGGCAAAATCAACCCAAGTCTTAAAATAAAATTGTTATGCAGATAATTTTGTATTATTCATTGTTTTCTAGTTTCATTGGGATTTTAGGAACCTAACTCGTATATTTTTGTAGGGATATTGTACTGTACCTCTCTCCTTGCATTTAGTCCTTATAAGATAATCATAACACTCATTTCTTTCTTGCCTGAATAACTGAGCAATTTCATTTACTGTCATTTTCTTTCAGGTGGACCATTTTACGATTCAAGTTATATTTAATACACAGTATTTATTCCTTTCTCACATCTTTAATTCTTGTTTTTATAAATTCTGGTATTCAGACCTGTGTTAACCCATTGATTCATATAGATTTTTGTTTCAATATATCTTGTTTTTCTGTTACTCTTGATTTTGATTGGATGATTATGGATCATTTTTGATCCTTTTGACCAACTACTATCTTCATCTTCTTCCACATTATCAGTAACAATTTGCACAGATTCCTTATCCATTAGTGTACCAAAACCTGGGGTCAACCTGTAATCATTGTACAGTACTAGATACATTATTTAACCTCTCCAGTCAGCACCCAGTGCTTATAATTTTTTTTTTAACACATCGGCCGTTTCCCACCAAGGCAGGGTGGCCCGAAAAAGAAAAACTTTCATCATTCACTCCATCACTGTATGCCAGAGGCATACACTACAGTTATAAAACTGCAACATTAACACCCCTCCTGAGTGCTGGCACTGTATTTCCCATTTCCCAGAATCAAGTCCGGCCTGCCAGCTTCCCTGAATCCCTTCATAAATGTTACCTTGCTTACACTTCAACAGTATATCAAGTCTTAAAAACCATTTGTCTCCATTTGCTCCTACCTAACATGCTCACACATGCTTGCTGGAAGTCTAAGTCCCTCGTACACAAAACCTCCTTTACCCCCTCCCTCCAATTTTTCTTAGGCCAACCCCTACCCTGCCTTCCCTCCACTACAAATTTATATCCTCTTGAAGTCATTCTATTTCGTTCCATCCTCTCTACATGTCCAAACCATCTCAATAACCCCTCCTCATCCCTCTGGATAATAGTTTTGGTAATCCCGCACCTCCTAATCTCCAAACTACGGATTCTCTGCATTATATTCACACCACACATTGCCCTCAGATATGACATCTCCACTGCCTCCAGCCTTCTCCTTGTTGCAAAATTCACCACCCATGTCTCACACCCATACAAGAGTATTGGTATAACTATACTCTCATACATTCCCCTCTATGCTTTCATGGATAAAGTTCTTTGTCTCCACAGACTCCTCAGTGCACCACTCACCTTTTTCCCCTCGTCTGTTCTATGATTCACCTCATCTTTCATGGACCCATCTGCTGACAAATATCTGAATACATTCATCTCCTCCATACTCTCTCCCTCCAATCTGATATCCAATCTCTCGTTGACAAATTTTTTTTGTTATCCTCATCATCCTGCTCTTTCTTATATTCACTTTTAATTTCCTTCTTTTTACATACCCTACCAAACTCATCAACCAGCCTCTGTAACGTTTCTTCAGAATCTCCCAAAAGCACAGTGTCATCAGCAAAGAGCAACTGTGACAATTCCCACTTTGTGTTAGATTCTTTAATCTTTTAACCCCACACCTCTTGCCAACACCCGAGCATTCACTTCAATTACAACTCCATCTAAAACTATATTGAACAACCATGGTGGCATCACACATCCCTAAGGCCTACTTTTTTTTTTTTCAACAAGTCGGCCGTCTCCCACCGAGGCAGGGTGATCCAAAAAAGAAAGAAAATCCCCAAAAAGAAAATACTTTCATCATCATTCAACACTTTCACCACACTCACACATTATCACTGCTTTTGCAGAGGTGCTCAGAATACAACAGTTTAGAAGCATATACGTATAAAGATACACAACATATCCCTCCAAACTGCCAATATCCCAAACCCCTCCTTTAAAGTGCAGGCATTGTACTTCCCATTTCCAGGACTCAAGTCCGACTATATGAAAATAACCGGTTTCCCTGAATCCCTTCACTAAATATTACCCTGCTCACACTCCAACAGATCGTCAGGTCCCAAGTATCATTCGTCTCCATTCACTCCTATCTAACACGCTCATGCACGCTTGCTGGAAGTCCAAGCCCCTCGCCCACAAAACCTTTACCCCCTCTTTCCAACCCTTTCGAGGACGACCCCTACCCCTCTTTCCTTCCCCTATAGATTTATATGCTTTCCATGTCATTCTGCTTTGATCCATTCTCTCTAAATGACCAAACCACCTCAACAACCCCTCTTCTGCCCTCTGACTAATGCTTTTATTAACTCCACACCTTCTCCTAATTTCCACACTCCGAATTTTCTGCATAATATTTACACCACACATTGCCCTTAGACAGGACATCTCCACTGCCTCCAACCGTCTCTTCACTGCTGCATTTACCACCCAAGCTTCACATCCATATAAGAGTGTTGGTACTACTATACTTTCATACATTCCCTTCTTTGCCTCCATAGATAACGTTTTTTGACTCCACATATACCTCAACGCACCACTCACCTTTTTTCCCTCATCAGTTCTATGATTAACCTCATCCTTCGTAAATCCATCCGCCGACACATCAACTCCCAAGTACATGTATCTGAAAACAT